GTGATCTCCGAGGACGGTGCAGGCCTGCTGGATCCTGTTCATGAGCACGATCACGCTCTCCATCGTCGACATCGCCCGAAACCCCAACCCTAACCCTAGATTTTTTTTGAATGCGGAGAGAGAACTCGAGAAGCAATTCGAAAGTCGTTCTCTCTGCTTCTTGCGCGTTGCCTCCTTTTTCTACCGCCTGCTCTCGTCGGGAGGGGCAGTTTGGGAAATTCGACTGGCAGCTGTACTTTAATAAGCGTGCGATCTGGGAATCTTGATCTGTGCGTAATTTTAAAGCACAGGTGTAAGGCGGTGGATTCTCTTGACGGTTTATATTCTGGTTCCTGGCTAACGAAGCTTATGTCACGTATGAGAATTTTTTTTCATTTTACCCCCTTTTCGGAATGTTCCTTTTCAAATTCGGCGACCGTGTTGAACGACTGCCGTTGCTGCAGGATCGGGTGGTGGATTCGAAAAAAAAGGATCCGACCCGGTTAGGACCTTGGTATTGTTTAGGTAATCCTACATGCAGAGACAGACATATCCTATAAGGGCCCGTTTGGTTGATAAAAAAACAAGTATTTTGTCAGCAAAAAACCTGCCAAAGTTAACGTCTTAGCAGGCTTTATGCCCAAGACCCAAGGCCAAAACCTTCACCCAAACACGCCTTAAATAGTGGTACATGCTTTTTCGTAATGAGATATTGGGATGTCATGGATTATTTTAATATTATACATAGCCATGTGATTATGGTTAAACAGCTATAGATTAAACCTTAGGTTTTAAAATTTTTGCATGTATGACAGAGATAGCTTCAATAGTATTACAACTTTTGTTACCAAACAAGAATTATGAATTCTAGATTTGATAAATACTTTTTTTAAAGGCTAAATAGTATTTAAATATGTCTTTCGCTGACTTAGCACTTATATAAACTTGTTTTTCACAACAGTTATATATCCTAAGTTATCTAAAATTGATATATTAGTAACCTTAACAGTGTTTTTCAAGTATTAATATTTATTAAAATTATTACTAAAACTGTATTTTAAAGTAGAATTAAAATAAGTTTAAAATAAAGTTTTGGTACGTTTAATGGTAAATTTAATAAATATTAATGCTTAAAAAGCTTTATAATTAGCATGCAAGTATCATAGAAAGGGCACCCCACTAATTTTTTTTACATTTGCATGATCGAGGGTGCTGATATGTTAAAATTTAAATGAGTATATAAATGTTACACAATAGAAGTGAGGGTATTTAAGTGTATAAGTATTACAGAAAATAAGTGAGAATATATAAAATGTTGAGTGAAATTATATGGTTTTTAAGTGCTATTAACCTTTTTCTTATCCACCTTATTTTATTTTTTCCAAGTTTAGAATTTGATCTAGTGGGTCTTGTGATTTTATCTTTAAAAGAGGTGTTAGACACATAATTTTATTTTTTTTTAAATAACTCAGTCTAGAATTGAAACTAAGACTGGGGAGATTATATTGGTACCTTCAAACCATCTGGATTACCCATGGTAAATACATAATTTAATATTTTGGAAAAAGGATAAGGAAAAAAACCTCATGAAAAACAACAATTATTCCATTCCAAACACTCAAACCATTAGTGGAGTTATTAGTGGGCTTAGCCCATTCAAAGCCCAATATAGACGGCCGAAGAAAAGGGGAGAAAGTGCGTCCTCGGGTCGCGTTTTTTTCCTACCAGAAAAATCTCCGAAAGGCACAATTTTTACTGCAAAATGGAGATTTTCCACTTCAATTTGTGCAGAATTTTACCATTTATAGCATCTGCAATCGCGATTCGAGTTGCCTACGTATTCTATTGGACTGGAAAGCCTCTCAAACCCTCAGCCTCGAAATCTCTTAGAACCCTAATCATTCTTGGATCAGGTAAATCGAAGTTTCTCATTTCTTGGAAATATTCACACGCTTATATTAATATTCGTGTAAAAATTTGATCTTTTCGTCTCTACAGTGATTAGTTAGCTTGTTGATGGTGTGGGTACCAGAGATTTGCTGAATGTATTCAGTAGTTTAGGACATAGCATTGTTGATTTTTGATGCAATATGTAAAAAAAAAATGCGCATATTCAAATTGATTAATTAATTTTTTTTTATTGACTTTGATGGATATTTTAGGAGGTCACACAGCAGAAATGCTCAGCATTGTTAATATTCTTCAGAAAGATAGGCTTGCCCCGAGGTTTTATGTGGCGGCTGCCACCGATAATATGAGCCTTCAAAAGGCTCGCATTTTAGAAGAATCATTGATTCAGCAAGGAGAGGTATACATCATATTTCTCCAATTCTTCATGGCAAATTGATTGGGAGAATTTATATAGTTATGAGTTTTGAGTACTCCGTAGTTTTATTCATAGATTAGTAAGTTTTTTTAGTGTATCCTTGTGCGGGTTGTTCGGGCTTGTTTATTTGGTCATCACCTCTAATATTTCATGAGATATTTAGCATTCAGTTCATAATCTCTGCATAAAGGTTCGCACGTTCTTTTAGATAGTAGGGAGTTTCTTTTTTAGACGTGTAGGAGTATTATCCTAATTGTTAATTTTGAAGAAGTCGCTTTATATACTATACAGGAAGCAAATACACACTGGCTTCTATCCAATAAGAGCATATCAACTGTGCTCTCAAAGTTATACCTTACAAGAATTAGCAACTGAATTACCTCTTCCTTATTTATGACATATAGAGCATATAAATAGAATGTTTTTTTTTCTGTTTGAAAACTTTTAAACCTTTTCTTATGAATGGTTTCAACTTTGAACATATAGAACAATACTGCAGGAAAAAAGATAGAGGATTCTCAGTTCATGCAAATCTATCGAAGCCGGGAAGTGGGTCAGTCTTATATTACCTCTATTTGGACAACTTTGGTCGCTATTTCACATGCTTTGTGGCTAGTGTTCGTAATGAGGCCTCAAGTGGTATGATTACTATTAACTTTCATTACACTAAAGTTAATTGTTACTTAAAATTTGAACTTATGTTATGACTGAAGATGGCATGTTTTTTCAGATTATCTGCAACGGTCCTGGAACTTGTATTCCTCTCTGCGCGGTTGCATTCCTTTTCAAGGTTAGCAGTGTGCCATCGGAACTGTTAAAAAACATCTTCTAGTTTCTCATATAGCCCATACTTATATCGACTGAATCATTACTACTTGCAAAGAATTGAGGACAGAAATACTGCTGTTGGCACCACTGCTCTCCTCTAAGGCTTTAATAACCAGCTGCTAACCCCCAAAATCACACACATGATCTAAAATCCTATCTGAACCCGATCCGAACCCAGACGAAGAAATTGGACCTGGTTCCGTGTTTGAATTCTCGTTCGCACTATTTTCGTCCCACGTCTAGATTTCACCAAATCAGTAATTGCTTCATGAGAAAGGAAAAGAATACAAAAGAAACTTCTCATTCAAAACATTGAATTATGCATCATGACGGCCAGAGAAGAGAAGAGTTATTCTCAACACCTAATTTGGTTATGTACTCATGATATCAGAAAGGGCTTCAGGTTTTGTGGATTTGAAATCTTTATCCAACCAAGATTTGAATTTTATGCCCAATGTCAATCATATTATCTTGTTTATTTTATCATCTACAACTCTACATTTTTTTAGTTCTGTGTATGCACTCTGACCACCTGGACCTGTAAAATGTGTTTCTGACCTATGTCATTGTCACTGACATATTGAGCTTTGTTCCAAATATTTGGAACTACTCATTGGTAAAAATGTTGGCAAAGTGCTGAGCCTTTTAGCAAGCCAATACCTGGTTCATATTTGTCAAAGGTCCCTGCCACTACACCAGAAGTCCGAAGTTGCGGTGGGGGTTATTTATACTAACATGCACCACAGATGGCGAGCCCTTTTTATGGGCCAAAACCTGGGCTCGCTCAGCGGTACATTTTTCTTAAAATTCGCTATAAATTCATGGCCGGTAGGAATTGGACCAGGGTCAATGTCAAGGTCCCTGCCACCACATTGAAACTTTGGAGTTTTGGTAGAGTGGCAGGGAGCTTTGAGAACATTCTAAAGATCAAAATGAACGTTGTAAAGAGGGAGCAAGAGCATGGTTTCATGTTTAACTTCTCTGAACTTGAACTCGTGCAGGTAGTTGGCTTCAGCTGGTCATCGATCTTCTATGTTGAGAGTATCGCGAGAGTGAGGAAGTTCTCTTTAAGTGGCTTATTACTGTATAAGCTCCACTTAGCTGATAGGATTTTTGTTCAATGGCCTAAGCTGCAAAAGGAATATCCGAGAACAATCTACGTCGGTCGCCTCATGTAAAGGAAATCTTTGGAGAATTGGGAGTGCTTATTCTAAAAAATGGTTTCAGCGATCCGTTGCTAGATGCACCATCTCCAAATCATGCTCTCTGATAATGTTAAAGTGGTTCTTGACGCATATTTAGTCTTTCATGAAACATTAATAGTTGGCAATGAGATGCTTATATTGTTCAAGTTCATGATACCCTGTGACCGATTCCTTCTACTGCTCATGTGTTACCTTTTTGCTATGCTTCTCTCAGGGGACGTTAATGATATTGTATTCCAAATTTTGTTTTGTAGATCATATTTATGTGAGTCAATGACAAATTTATTTCTGCTTGTACATTGACTATCATGCGCGGGAAATCTGTTTGTTTTGTCACCGTTTTATGTAATCTTTTCGCCCTTTGTTTTTTCTGCTATCAGAGTTATTTTTAGATGAAGCGTATACACCGAGAACCCCAAGCATTCTGAGAAATACAACAGGTGAATTTTTGGTAGAGTTTTTATTGAAGGTGGCAATTATGTGTAAATCTTAATCACCTTTGCATAAACATCGTGTCAGTTGTAGCTTTTACATCATCAAATGCTATTTACAATGTCACGGTTTTTACTGTATATTGTCAATCGGAGCTATGTCTGTAAACGTGAAATGCAAGTCAACAAATGTTACAGCATCATAATTTGACGCTCTTTCCTGCAATAATCTGAAAAGGATAGCATTCCACAACCTTCTGCAAAACATTCATAAATGTCAGCAGCAAATAACAAACCAAGCTCCGATCACTGATCGGGCAAAATTATTTCTAAATAGATAATATGGTCATTCTACTCAAGAACATAGATGCCGAACATTGTCATCCCATAATCATTCACATCCCGGCTTAATTGCAAGCTGTCACCAACACCCATGACAACATATAGCACAATTCAATTCACTTCACCAACTATTATTTCAAATCGATTCTAGTCTGGGTTCTAAATCTAATCCCCACACTCAGATAACATTATAGTTCAAAATGCCCACAAAAACTAAAAATAAATTTCTATTAACATGATTCTAAACAAGAAGGAAAAGAGCACAAAAGTAGGTAACCAAAATCTTCATCTCAATCATATGCCTTCTTTCAGCAGGTAGCTCTGTATAAATGAAGCCCATAGAGACATGATACTGCAGACGATATTGAATATTGAGGGACGAGCAAGAGTAGTTCCAGATCTTCAACAGGCGCATCCACCGGATTGTGTCTGTGAGCTAGAAGCATTTGTGTTGGTAGCCCTAAGATTAACATCGACCATATCTTCCTGTTTTGTTGACGAGAGAGTCTCCATCCCCGGGAGTGCAGCAGCTATCTTTCTGAACAATGCCTGTATGAAAAACAAGTGTTTGGTAAATGCAAGAAGGATTCATATCAAGTAGATCTGACTATATTTTACGCTAGTTGTTGGCTAGCAAAAACAACCCACCTCCTTTATCCTGACTTTGCCACAACCAGTAAAAAGATCAAAGAAAATAGAGAACAAAATGAGATTCAGGGCATTATTGCTCATATAATCAGACCCAAGAAGCACGTGGAAACAAAAAGAACTATGTGCAGCTTGCTCATTTCGCTTCCATATTGGCAGTCATAGTATTGGTTTAAAAAGCTAGTTCTCCTGTCTTCGAGTGGAAAATGGTGCGAGATGATTCTTCTCCCAATTCTGAAGACCTTGTCACCAACACTTTTATCGTTTTGGTCACAAGGTCTTCCAAGTTAGGAGAAGAATCATCTCCTGCAATGTTCCATGCAAAGACAGAAGAATGGTTTTTAAACCAATATTATGATTCAATATGTAAGAGAAACGAGAAAGCTGCATGCTGGCACATTAAGGCAGGCCACGTTGAGAGGGGTTTGCATGCAGGCATTGCCATGAAGGAGTAATCAATTGGAAAAGGATGCAGAATACGAACCTTAATATTGAATCCAGCTTTGGCACTTGTCTCAATAAACATGACACCAAGCTCATGTGCTTTAGCTTCCCCTTCCTCTATAGAAACTTGCCTGTTGCATCATCAAAGCATTTCAATTCAGTATCACACATCGACTAAGTTTAAAATATACTTGAAATGTGATTACTAGTTAGCATGCTTCAATGGATCAACAGAAAATTTCTCAAATTCTTTATAAAGGTTTGCATTATTGACTTTGTAATGGAAAGTAAAGACCTTGAAGAAATGTGAATCAATGGGTTCTAATAAATTTTAATTCATCTTTCAATGGACTGCGAAAAAGTAATTTCTAAACCAAATAAACAATACACAGCTAGTCTTATTAGTTTCACTGAAAAGAAAAATTAATATGTTTCCATTACATCAAAAAAGAAAATCTCCTAAAAGAAATTACGCAAACAGATGACTAGCAGGAAAATCTATCAGATATGCACAATTGTTTTAGTAATAAGTACCCATCACATAGAGACCACAGATACAAACTCTTTATGATGACAAGGAATGAATACCACGATAAAAGAAATTTTATGTTCTTCAGACTGATGTACAAGTGGATGCTCAGTATCTTTTCCTCTCATCAAGAAAATGGAAAATATATAGTTTATCAAGAAGTCTTTTGGCTCACTTTAGAAAACATATATCATGTAATAACATTGTGCTATAACTAAAAGGTTCTTAGTCATCTATTATCACAAGCAAGCTTCCCAATCATCTGAAGTACATAGTAAACAGCATTTATCAGGGTCATTACTTCAGTGACACGAATCACAGAAGGAAGACTTTTAGAAGCAATTGCTGGTGTATCATGAACTTTGCTTTGTACTAGTTTCCATATCATCAATATTATAGAAAATACAAAACGGTAATTAAGAAATAATATGCCAACTAAACAAGCTACTGGTCATTTACCTTTTGTCAACAAGGTCAGTCTTGTTGCCGACAAGGACAATGATGACATCACCACCCCTCTCGGTACGCACCTCTTCAATCCACTTCGAAGTATTAAGGAAAGATTGCCGGCCTATATATCATGGTAGACATAAATTAATAAGCATGAATTTGGATGCTTCCGCAGATAAAAGAAAATTTTAACGTTTTTAGGATTTCTAAAGTAAAGTCGTCATAGTTCAAAATCTAGAATATCTATTCATTGGTTGCTATAAAATATATGGGCACTAAAAGGGGGAAATTACCATGTTATGAAGAGAATCTTGAAATATATAACTTGTACTCAAAGAAGAAAATTTCCAATATCACAGTTTTAAGAAATTTCAGAATATTCTTATACTAACCAAACACATGCTTTGAAAATTTATTACATTTTTTTAATTAGGATAAAAGCAGATGTATCAATTTGATCATAAAAACCCCCCAAAAGCAGAGGCTTCGTTATATAGAATGAAAATTAAAACATTAAAAGAAACTAACTTCGATTTGTACATGGATAAATAAAACTTGAGCAGGACCTCTTTTTCAGCTAGAACACTATTTTGAAATTCTAGACCCAGTGCAACTTTAAATTTTAAAATAGAACTAGATTAGCCACATAGTAAAGGAAACATACTGGCAACGTCATACACGATAACAGCAACAGAAGAATCCCGAATGTAACTAGGAATGAGACTCCGGAATCTCTCTTGTCCAGCTGTATCCCTGTGAATTTACAAAACATAAGTGAATATACATGGTTGACATGTATGTATGTACACACACATTTAAGAAACAAATAATTGATATGATGATAGATGTGTGCTGAAGAATTCACTGAGTTTCAATTTTTTAATTTAAATCTATCCTGACAAACTTTAATTCACATAGAATAGGGTTACTGCAAAGTAGGTCTTCTATTGAATGTGTAGTGCATACATATTATTTATTTATAGCCATGATGCATTTGCACTTAGAGAAGTAATTGATCGTACCATAGTTGCAGTCGAACAGTCCTATCTTCCAGGTACATTGTCTTCGACAGAAAATCAATGCCAATTGTAGCCTATCTCCAAAATTAAAATGTAAACAAATACAAAAAAAAGGATACAAATAGAGAGCAAATAAAGTTGTTTGACATTAACAAAAAAAATTTATCTCAACAAGTGACGAACAAGTTAATTATATTTTGCTACTTCAGAGAGAGTAATCTCTAAGCTTGAAGAAATAGGTACTTTACAACTAAAAAATTATCTAATGATTTCTAAAAGGTAATTGTTTATTGAAAAATGTACAGCAAATATAAAAAGAGAGCAGGATAATTATACTGATTAATTCAAAATATCATATTCCAAAATCAAAACAGAGTGAATAGTTTGAGTCAAGTAAACCACAAGGAATCCATCATGTACAACTAGGTAGGCAGTAAAACAAAATGCATAGGAACAACCATATGTATCAATTACTTTTAGCCATTGGTTCTTGTAGCCACTTTTTGCGATTCAAATCATAAATTGAATTGCGCGCTCTGGAATAGAATTCCATGGGTTGGTAAAAATTAGATAGCGTTTGACTGTTGATCGCACAGTTGTAAACACCATCACATAAGCTTCGAGAAATAAGAACTCCACAATGAAAAGCTTCTAGTTTCATGAAATGAAAACCTATCTCCTGGTCTCATAAATTGAAACATAACAAGCATCCTACAAGCGAACCATATCCTGTACTATTTTTAACAGAATCCAACACAAATTAGAACCTCAGTAACATAGAAAAATTAAGTCTTTAACAGTCCATTTGCAGGATTATGCCTTCGACTGTCCATCTCATTGACCTGTTATTAAGACCACTGAAAGGAGTCTCACTCACCTCACTTGCCCATTCAACTGGTTCTGGATCATTTTTTTGGTTCAGATATTGGAAAATATAGAATAGACAGCCTCATGACAACTGAGAAAAAACAGTAGACAGTTTCTTACCGAGTAAAAGAGGAATCACACTAAAAAATAGATAGTGAATCCTATATCCTGCACAAGAAGATATGTCGACAGCCAAGTAGCTTTTCAAATAAACGGAGTCCAGTTTTACCCCAAATTCTATTTTGAATATAGACAAAAACCAGTATCCTCTTCATAAACTCCATTTTCAAAATTTTTTGAATAATATCGTACAAGGATAACCCCAATAAAATTTCTGGCATATTGTTGTGCAATTTATTCAACTACAATCAATTACTTCATGCAACTCGAGAGCTAGTTAAGGAGGCAATATAAAATCTTAGAGAACCACATAGACTAAAGAGAGAAGAATCATAGCCCTCAATCACCACAAGCCACTCCCAATTAATCCTGAACCCAATACTAAACACTCAAATTAGTTTTGATGACATTTCACATTAACAGCGAGCTGAAGCAATCCATGGGATATATTTCAAAAAATACAAAAAATCCTGATATTGAACAAAATATATTTACCACAATTCTGACTGCTTCCTGATTGATCTAAAATCAAACATAAACAAAAAAAATGGAAAAAAAATACGGATCTAGTCGCAAAAATTAAACTTTACTAACTTGAATCTCAATTAAAATATAATATCCTAACCGTAATCAACTAAATAAGATCCAACACATCAGAGATCAATCTTGATCTCACATAAAACGACCAGATCAAACCCTAAGCCAGCAGATCTGAACAAAATTCAATAAAAAAATCGATGAAATAAAAAAATCTATGTTTTGAAATGAGAGCGATTCTACCTGGTAAGTGTTGTCGAATTTGTCGTACATGAATCTGGTGATGATGCTCGTTTTCCCCACCGACTGATCCCCCAAAAACACCAGCTTGTACTTGGCGAGCGCTGAAACTGGAGCCATTGATGATGATGATGATTCCTTCGATTGAATTGAATAATAATTTGAGATCGATGGATCGATCGAATTCACCGCGACGAGAGAGAGAGAATCAAAATGGACTCCCTCGTTCCCGTTCGCTGTTTTTTTTAGCTAGCTGTAAAAGGAAAACTTTAGGCCATATATAACGGGTCGGGTTCGGGTCTCATTTCAGATTCGTACCCGAAGTGCAGCTAATAAATGAATCATCAACACTCCTTTTGGGGTTATTAATTGCAGAAACCCCCCTACAACTTTCTTTCTATTTTCTTTTTTTTTTCCTCTACGGGCCCCACTTACCCGCCACAGCCTTCCTTCATCACGAAGGTTTACCGTTCCCTACGCGGCAACATCACATCCAGCCGTCCATTCTCTCAATAGCCTGCACAGATCAATACTAACCGTCAGATCCACACCGTTCTTCGAGCCGAGCCCCTTCGCTCATTCCACCTTCCCTGTCTCTCTAAATTCAGGAGCGCGCTTTGCTCACCTCTCTCTCTCTCTCTCTCTCTAAAATCACTAGTTCGTGAGTTCTTCGATTGGCGATCTCGATCGAATCCGGTAGGTTTCCGCTCGATTTCGAGGCTTCTTGATGTGAAATTTCTTCGTAATCTGCTGTGATTGGGGAAATCTACACGATTCCTTTGTTAAATTCGTTCTTTGTTGCTGATTTCACGCGAATTACTCTATTCTTTTGGTTACTGATCTGATTCTAGGGTTATGGATCTGCTAATTAGGGAATCGATCTGTTGTGAGGGTTTCTTGCGTCGATTATAGCTTGGATCTCGCGGTTTTCTTGATAAATTCTAATCAATTACCGTTTTCTTGTATATTGCAGGTAAAAAGTAAGGTTGGATCAGACCTCGGATTCTATAAGCAGGTTAGGGACTGAGCCCTCGGTTTGTGATGAGGAATAATTGGATGATGTTGATTTATGGTTTGAGAACAAAATTAGTTGGTAACCTTTGGAATATAATCTTGTTAGCAATTTCTCATTTTTTGTTCAAGCGAAGTTTTATACCGGAGTATGATAATTGCTCAGTTCAATGTTTAACTTTTAAGTTTCGTAACTTTATAATGACGTATATTTTTGTAGTTTAAAGGTCCAAAACACTCGTGCCTCTTTGGTTTATAGGATGCATGTGCATTTCACTTGTATTTACTTGTTGTGAGAATAGTTTTGGTATAAGTTTTGCTCCTTAAGCGCAGCAATTAGATGATTAGGGCGCAGATGAATTTCATAACCTTGTTCGGTGACATGTGAAATCTACAATAAAGCAAACATAGCAACCGTATTCTGATCTTATATAGCTTATTTCCATATTCACTGTTGAACCTTCACTAAAGCGAAAGAAAATGAGATAAAGTCAATAGAGTAGCACCCAGTTATTCTCACTATGACTGATTTGTTATCCTCATCAAAGCCTTCTTACAGAAAAATGCGTTCAGATTTTATTTTATATGGATTGTTTCTGTTAGCATCATCTTTTTTCTCTCCTTTATTTTCTGGTGCTTTGGTACCTTCCCTCTACTCAGCTGCTTTAATTACATGAAGAAATTGAGCTAGCTACTGCTCCTTTTATGAAGGAATAGGAAGTACATAGATCTAGGACAATTAAAGAATTGAGCATGCTTATAGGTTGGGATATGGAACTATTAATAGGTTTAGAATAACGGAAGACTCAGAAGTTGCTGCCATGTAGAATCGATATCTGTATCATCATACATAATTTAATCTATATAAGCTTTTACATGTTAGCGGGATTCGGGAACAGAATCATTAATTAGATAGTATGCTTAGCATGTGGATCACATGCTTGATGGATGTGGCTCTGAATGGCTGACACCTAATTGCTCATTTTACCGTCTTGCTGTTTATTGCACATTTGCATGTTGAATATTGTGTATATATTGGTGAAATATTCTAACGTGATTTTTGAGGCTTTTGTGTTCATAATTTTTTAAGACATTGGGAAGTGAAATTGAATGCCATTTTTAGTTAATGTCTTGTGTTTTCTGCTTTCACAGGTTGTTGGACAAACAATTACCTGAATTCTGCCCTTGATTTGACAAGATGGTTTCTCTTGAGATGAATGACCGTAAAAGTAAGAATGCTTGGCATATTGTATCCCAAATCTTTTCCTGGGTCATTGTAGGCATGAAACGCTAGCATAGGAATTTATATCTTCTTGTTTTGCTAATCTCAATATTTTTTAAGATTTGTATTCTGAGATGATTAAAGCCCTCCTTATTGATTAAGAAAATAGATATTGGGTTATCAATTTAAGTGATATTTCCGTTTTCTCTAATTGAGATATTGTCTTGATACCATCATTTCATGCAAAGCTTCTTCATTGCTTCATTAATATGTAATACATTATGGCATCTTTGTCTTGCATTTTCCATTTAGAGAAGTTCAGGGAAATAATATACTTTTGTCTAATTTTTAATATTTCAATCTCCTGTACTCCCCTAGCTCTCAAAAGGTGCTGCTTGGTTGCAATAATTGTGATGTATACATTCTGCCATGATCTGTTTATGCCTTCCAACTCTCCTGTTAGATTGATCAGGAGTATAGCGTGAGTTGGCAGTACATCATGTTCTAGGAACTGTGCACATTTGACAAGGGAAACATCAAGTTAACATCTAGCATTTGTGTTTTTTCTAGTGGTTATTTTGTCTGTCTTCGAAAGGGCACGTTTGAATTTCTGCATTATTGCTCCCATTGTATTTTCTTCACCCACTGTTTTAAAGAGGTCCAAACTAGGTTCTTTCTTGAGGCATTTCCGAGGAAAATGCCTTGAGAGACACAAGAGTACGAGGCATATGCTTCAGCATAAGGAAAATGTACTCTTCACGCTTTGCTTTGTGCCTTCTACATGATCATGTGCTTCATAACCAGACAAGTGAGATATTAGCTGATTTGGGAATTTATTGTTGGATACACATCAAGTGGTTAGATCTTAAAAGGAAAGAGTAAACAGCCAAATATAACTCGAACCTAAGAGTTGCGGTTCTCCACAATCGCATCTATTTAGTTTTCCTTTATCTCCCTTTTTATTATTTTACAAATATTTACAAAAACAAGACTAATAAAAAATTTCATGAGGGATACACTTTATTTCATCAGAGGATGTAATAGTTTCCATGTGCCTTCGCCTTTTAAATGGCGGTACATCTTGATTTATCTAACAATGGCATAGTTGAACTATACTACATTTGCCAATTATCCCATGTGTCGGAAGTACTTATTGATTTATCATGTCATGGGAATACAAACAATAATGCGTTCTTTAGTGTACTTCTTAGAGAGTACGTGCCTGCTTTGTTTTTATAATAACATGGATAAAGATGCTGATTGTTAGCATATCATTATACGACTATGTTCTTTTTTGCTTGACCCAGTATGTTCTTCTATTATTCAGCAAATGTGAGTCTACATTCCAATTCTTTGACTTTCATTTTATGGAAAATAATTTGTTTTCTACTAAATCATCATCTCAATAATGAGCTACTTATATTCTCTACGATTCTCTCATCTATGAAACAGAAATTGGGTTAGGACTGACAGGGTTCGGGATATTTTTCTCATTCCTGGGCATTGTAATGTTCTTTGATAAGGGGTTTCTGGCCATTGGAAATGTAAGTGTTCAAGCCCCTTTTTTCCTGCCCTTTAATTCTCTTGGACCTCACTGAAGGATTGCTGCCTGCTTAACCATCAATCTACTTTTTGCTGTCTTCAGATCCTCTTCCTGTCTGGAGTGATGTTAACCATTGGCCTGAAATCTAGTATGCAGTTCTTCACTAAGCCGAAGAACTACAAGGTAAATGTGACCTTCCACATCATGATTAAATTTATCATTTCTCTGCCGTCTTTCCCCCTTAAATTGAACACATATTCATTTGACAGGGTACAGTCGCTTTTGGAGCTGGTTTTCTTTCTGTCCTGATTGGGTGGCCTGTTATTGGCATGATCTTGGAGGGTTATGGTTTTGTTGTTCTCTTCAGGTTTCCAACCCATTTGATGTCAATCTTTTTTGGTTTATAGAAATGTTGTGTTTATCTTACTTGCTGCCACCCTTCTGTTATTATTGTTAAGTACCATTTGCATTGTGATGAGCATTGGTTTGGTTTTCTGGCAGTGGCTTCTGGCCTACTCTTGCTGTGTTCTTGCAGAGGCTTCCGGTTCTGGGTTGGCTATTTCAACAGCCATTTGTAACATCGGTAAGCTAAACCCTCGCGTATTGTTAAAAAATGATCATCCTGCTGATTTAGTAATTTGATAGTTTATTTTGGAAAGTCTTTTTTATTTTGACATGTTTTCCTATGCGCGTGCAGTTCTTCGATCGTTATAGAGGCAAAAGAGTGCCCGTGTAAAAATCTCCAAGTTGTTGTGATGCACATCAAGCATAGAACCATAGAGACATGCTCGGTACGCAAAAACAAGAAAAGGAAAGGAAAGGAGAAAAAACTTGTAATATAGCAGCCAAATTTGGCCCTCAAGACCGTCTGATTCATTACACTGATGACCTTCTGTTATATGTTGTTTTTTCTTTGTTTTTTGCTGGCGATGTTGATGCCAAATCCAGCCTATTCTTTGTAACATAGTTTCTGTGTGGGTTTGTTTTGTGCATGTTGGCGAACTGACACAGCTTGAAGTATCAGTTCATTTTGATGACTTTTTTACATGCCATTAAGCTTTGTGTCAGCAGAAACTACCGCGTTTTCCCCTGATCTGTTCTATATTACGTTCACCCTCAAAAAAGTTCTCCGCAGATGTTGGATTGATTTATTTCTATCAGGGTCTGGCATGTCCTTTCTAACAATTTTTGTCAATCTCTTGTACCAAATTTTCAATCTTCACATGGTGAGGTACATCGATTTAATTGGGAACCTTAAATGAGGCCTGAATAAACTTGTATATCTAACTTTGATTTAGACTAGATTTGGTCCCTATAACTCTCGCTAAAATAAGTTAATTCGGATTTGGTCCCTACTAAGAACTCAATGTTTATTTTCACTAGATATAAAGAAAATAATCAAAATCATTGTTATTCCCAAACACTAAAGCTAATCACAATGGCTAAAATAAAACTTATTTAACGGGTTAATAATTTAGCCCTTCGGATTATCGAATGAGCTAAATACATTAATTTTTCTTTTTAACCCCTCTTCCTTAGCTCCTTGACAAACGGGGCCTTAAGGGACAAAGAGTTGCAATTCGCATAAGTCCAAATGAGAAAAGATTACAAATGTATAGCGTTAATAACTATTACGGCGGCTTAGTATTTGTCGACTTGTTGAGAAACTATACTTCTAATAATAAAATGCCAAAAGTTGACCCCTCACCCACGTCCACACCCATGAACGCAAGAAGCATCGACGCCGAATAAGGGATGAAAAGAAAGGAAAAGAAGAATAAGAAAAAATGAGGGGAGGTTTGTTAAGAAAAAGCAAATGTGCAAGGTTGGAGTATCAAACTCCAGACCTCTTACTCACTTTTTTAAACCAGCTTTGATACCACTAGGCTATAGAGACCATTGATATTTTTGGTGATATGTATAGTATATAACCTTTTTTGAAAATCTGAGGTGGTTCAAGTGAACCACCTTGAACTAAGGTGGGTCCGCCACTGGAATTATTTCATAATAAATTATTTCATAACAGATTAGAAACAAGTTGTAGATCAACTCTGACCAATTCACATCTATCGCAGTAACAGAAAATTTCATATCTATCGCGTTGTAGGTCACATTCACATGACGCACCAAACCAACAGCAAATTCATATATATATATATCTTAAAAACTTATAATTAATCTTATGGATTCCAAATTAAGAAAATATCATGACGTGTACGTAAACCACAACCAACAGACCAACTGGCAATTGATGCTGACCCGAGACAATAATAACTTGATAAAATAATCAACAATTAATCCCATCAATGGTTTTCTTTCATCCATCTTAATAAATTATTGAGACAGTTACATCACAAGATTTGTATCGGTCATGACTTAAAACCATTGTTTTCCTTTCATAGAAACACGACGTTAATCGCTCGTTCTGCTAAGATATGCTTTCTTTCTTAATTTTGTTATGCCTTTTATTGGATAAATTAGGAATTTTCTGAAGTTTAATACTCATCTTCTGTTGAAACTAACTGTAGTATCTCTTTGTTCTATAGCATCCAGCAAAATAAATAAATAAAAATAAATAAAAGCCCGTGTATTGTGGACACATTTATATATCTCATATCTAAGGTTTAACCAAAGAAAGAATTTTTAGCATCACAAGATAATTTCAAAGATGCTTGTATTGCACTCTATCGAATACTTCAATCATACTTAATTTAATGATGCGTGAGACTTAGGCTTGATTTGATAGGATGTATAACGTTCAACGAGGAGAGAGAGTAAAGGGAGGTACATGTATTTTTAGTTTATTTTACAAATTCTCTCTCCTTACACTTGTGTCTCTCCAAATTGGAGGGTTTTTTTTTTCCCTCTCTCTTTACTTTCTAGTTCCTTTTGCATCTTTTACGTCCTTAACTTACCTTACCCTAGTTCACCTTACTCTCTAAAAACCCCCTACCAAAGAAACACTTTTAATTTTATCCCTCCCCTTACTCTTCCTCCCCCTCCTACCAAACCAATTCTTAAAGTCCGGGTCAATGTATTGCAGAGAATACTCGTTTTCATAATACAAATCGCATCCATGAAATTAGGAGGCTCAATAAACATATACACAATCACCCATTCTCATTCATTTCATATCCATTTTATCTCTCCACCAAATCAAAACATAAATACACAAATATGAACATCTCAACCACGTATTATCTAAATAACCCATGTACGAACATAATATTCTAAACTATAAAAAAAAGACAATTGAAATCTCTAAACTGTCGCCTATCTTTCCGTGTGGATAGCTCAGACCATCCTGCTCGCATACTGACTATTATCGGACATATCACCCATCAAGTCTTTTGTAACATTGCAACTATACCAAGAGCAATAACAGAGTGCCCAAAAAACTCATCATTCTCCACCTTCAACGGCGACTCAATCTCCCCATCACTAAACCCATCCTCACAAGTCCTCGGAGCGTCGACCACCGAGCTCAACATTATATCAGCATCACCATACCTCTTCGCCCGAATCGCCTCAACCGAGTCATCCAGGCTCGAGACCGAGTCAGAGTACAACTCGAGACAAGTCTCAAGGCAGGACCTCATGTAGGCTGAGTCAGTTGAAGGCGTGTCTCTAAGAATCGTCTCGAGTTCGGATACGATACTTGTTGCATTGGCCTCGGTTATGTTTGTTGCTATGATTGATAAGTCTTGGAGGGTGGAGTTGTGGGATTCGGGGATTGAGTTGAAGGAGTCGATGCATAGGGTGTAGTTTACGTTGGGGCTGCTCTCCGCGCATTTTTTGCACGTGTCAACGACGATATCGGGTTGAGCAGAGGTTGAAGAGGCTTGAATGAGGAGGAGGAAGAAGAGGAGGGAGATGAAGGGGTTCATGAGGTTTGATTATTTACTTAATTATAACGATTTCTTTGAAGAAAGAAATTTGAGAGAGAGAGAGAGAGGAGATGAAGAGGGTATGGGAATATGAGGGGGGTATAAATAATGTTTGATGGGGCGGCGTGGCTTTCAAAAAAACGTTTGATGGGGTATTTATGTTAAATTGTTTTAATTAAGACCCCTATTCGAACATGTATGAAATTTTTTGGGATTTAGAAAGATGGAGATTTGAGGGTCTAATATAGACTAACATGTTAGATATTTTGTTAAGAAAAGACAATCTTGCCTTCATGAATAGTAATAAAATTTTATAATTAAAACATGTTTTAATTAGCAATTAAAAATATGTGTAACGGCTATATAATTATGGGGAACGTTACAAAATTTATGACGAACGTTACGGAATTAATTACGGGTTTTGTAACGTCTCTTCATCTGAGCTGAAGCTCTGCACTCTCGCCCGAGTGCAAAGGCCGTTTCCGGGGGCTTTTACCGCTAGGGGGGAGGGAACCATTTGCGTCAGGGCGATAGGCGGGTTCTCAATCTTCTAGGGCAGTGAATACACGACTGCTCCCGATCAGGCCAGTTTTAATTGTTTATTTTTTCAGATTTATCTGCATGCTATAATCTTAATTATTTGATAAGTTTCCAACATAACAAAGAATTGGTTGTCTAATATATGAGTCATATGACAAAGACCCAAAAAAGAAATGGTTTGATATAGATGATAGGGTGTCAATATGTCATCCATATATAGTTTATCTTTCCCCCTACCTAAATAGATAAAATATTTACGAGGAAAATGTGATACTATACTCAAATTTGCGCACATGCGCTATTAGTTATTTGAGTTGATTGCCATTTATACATGAATTTCGATTCTCTCTAGTAAAGCCAAAGTAACTGAGAGATCGCAACATTAATAAATAGCCGTCCATTTGTGTTATGTGATTATAAGTCATTCTAAATCTAACATTCGTAATGCTCCCTGATTTGTGCTCTTTTCCTAATTCACACTCAAAGACAAATTACAATTATTCATTAAACAAATTAATGACCCAAAAGAGTCTAACTGAGTTGGTAAGGTGCGTATGACCAGTGCTTCAAGGTCTCATGTTCTACTCTCTTGAAGAGCACCCACGGGAATTTAATTTCCCTAAATACCAAAGACCATGCTTTGAAGGATGCCTCTAAGCCATGCACAGGGATTTGACAACTATGGTCTGAAAGATGGTAAGGGGAAAAAAATTAAAGGTTGTTATTTAATGATAGATAATTATTATTACTTAAAATATAAGGGATGTTAATTTGGTCCTATTCTTCTATTTGGAGTTATCAAATGGTAGGCAAATTTTCTTGTTGTCCATACATTAATTCACTTTTCTCACAACAATAAAGAGTTCTAGACTAAGCAATAAAAAATAAGATACTATCTTAATGTATTAATGTGCTTGTTGCACTTTGACGGAAGCGTGCACACGAACCAACACGAGTCGGCGAGCAACAGGAGGAGAACAACCAACGAGTGTAATTCACAAAAAACGGCCAAAATCAAACACAGACACTGAGATTTATGTGGTTCGGCAATTGCCTACGTCCACGGGGAGAGGATGGTAAGATTTTACTATATGGAGGAGAAAACAACAGGTTACAATCACTATAACTATCATAAAATAACCCTAATCAAAATATCTCAACCCACCTCTCAGAAATCTCCCTCTCAAAGTGCTCAAAACAACCTCTTTTTCTCTCTAATAATCTCTTCTAAAACGCTCTATATATATAGAAACCCTAAAACCAAAACAGAATAGGAATCCAACAATTCTAAAACCAAAACCAAAACAGACAAGGAATCTCAATAATTCTAAAACCAAAACCAAAATAGACTAAGAATCTTGTTTGGCCCAATAACCTGCTATCCAACAATTCTTCACCTTAGCGAAGTGTTCCCAAAACCGAGCAGACGCCAACAAGAGCACCAATGTGTCGTCTCTCCAAATCCGGCTGCACCAATGTGGTTGCCTACGTACCTCCTCTCTCATGGGATCAAGCCCCTCGTACTTCATCCAAATGGCCTCGAAATGCCTCAACAAGCACAAATTCGTAACAAGCTTCTACCAGTATAGCAAATTCTTCATATACACACCAATTTCTCCTTTCCGGCAGCTCGAAACCCCAATGGTTGAGTCATATAATTTTTTTCATCAAGATCACCATGAAGAAAAGTTGTTTTCACATCCAACTGATCCAATTCCAAACCATACTATGTCACCAAAGCTAGTAAGATATGAATCGAAGAGCGCTTCACCGCTGGAGAAAAGACTTCATTGTAGCCAATGCCTTCTTCTTGTGCATAACCCTTCGCTACTAATCTAGCTTTGAACCTCACTGGAGTATCCTGAATGTTCTCCTTCTTCGTATACACCCATTTACAACCAATATCATTCCTCCCCTTTGGAAGCTTAACAAGCTCCCATGTGTCGTTCCTATGAAAAGACTCCATCTCCTCCTACATAGCCTCCTGTCACAAATCAGCCTCTGAACTCTGCTCAGCCTCTCTCAATGTAATAGGCATCATCTCGTCGGCACTCTCTATCGGAAGTGCATATGCAACGACTGTGTCTTTATATCTCGTTGGCAACCGTATGTCTCTCCTCGGTCTCCGAACTGCAATCGAATTATGAGCCTGAGCCGTCGGTCCATGATTCTGCTTTGTCGTACCTGTGTCCTCCAAACCATCACTATGCTCTCCTGACGTCACCTCAGTCAGCACTTTAATAGATACGGTCTCATCTGGACTCTATGGACCTGCATCAATCTCCACCACCTGCGATGTCTTCTCTGTCGGGGTGCTCTTTACCTGATGAGAGCTGGTAGGCTTCAAGAGCGAAGCCTCATCGCATGCGACGTCTCTACTCAGCATAATCTTTTTCTCAACTGGATCCCAAAGCATGTATCCTTTTACACCATACTTGAATCCCACAAATATGGTCTTCCTAGCTTGAGGTTCTAATTTATCAGTTCTGACACGATCAAATGCAGGGCACCCAAATACCTTGAGCTGATCATAATCATGTGCTAGCTCTCCAGACCATATATCCATAGGGGTTTTCCCCTCAATCGCAGATGAAGGTAACCTATTAGTGAGGTGACTTGCATATGAAAGTGTCTCAGCCCAAAAAATCTTCTCCAAACCACTCTACGATAACAAACATAGGACATTCTCCAGTAAAGACCGATTCAATCTCTCTGTCACTTCATTCTGCTATGGTGTGTGACTAACTGTGAAGTATCTCTCTATGTCCTCGTATCGACATAGCTGCTGAAAGGGGTCTAAAGTGTACTCGTCGCCGTTGTCGGATCTCAACATCTTGATCTTTCTTCCTGTCTGTAGTTCCAATCTCCTCTTTACTCCACAAATATCTCTAGGACTTCACTTTTCTTCGCCATGATGTACACCCAACAGTGCCTATAATAGTAATCTACAAACATGATGAACCAATATCGACCACCAAGTGGTACCGTCTTAGTGAGACGGCAAACATCGGTGTGCACATAGTCCAAGATGTGTGTCATCCTATGAATAGTTGTCTCAAACTTCACTTTAGTCTTCTTGCTAAGAACACAGTACTCACAGAATTTAATCTTCCTACTCTTTGCTCCCTTCAATAGCCCCTGCTTGCACAGCGTATGTAGTGACTTTTCACCTATGTGCCCTAATCTTTAGTGCCAAAGTCTGCTCATATCTGCCTCTGAAACTCCTGAAGCTACATGGCCAATCTCGGTGTTTCCCTTCAGATAATATAGATTCCTATTGCGAACTTCCTTCTTCATTACCAAAGATCTCTTAGTAACTTTTGCTACAACGCTCTCAAAAGTTACCTTGAATCCCTTTGCCTCTAAAGCTACAACGGAAATAAGATTCTTCTTCAGCTGAGGAACAAATCTCACTTCATTCAACTCACGAACAACTCTGTCGTGCATCTGAATCCTGACAATACCTATCCCACAAATACCACAGGACTGAACGTTTCCCATGACCACCACACCCTCATCGAGCTTCTCGAAAGATACAAACCAATCTCATCAGGGAGTCACATGATAAGTAGCACCAGAATCCAGTATCCAATCCGATGCATCAGTATGGTTAACCTCTGTAGCAATCAATAGAGAAAAGCATAAATCGTCAGAATCATCACCTCTAGCGACATTCACCTCATTGGCCTTCGGGCTATTCTTCTTGATATGCTCCTTTTCTCTGAGCTTCGGACTCTTCTTCTTGATATTCTCCTTCTCTCTGAGCTTCGGACAATCTCTCTTTCAATGTCATTGTTCTTTGTAGAAAGCACACTGGTTCTTCGCTAATTAGTAGTGGCCTCTTGACTTTGACATGCCTCTGTTGCCATCTCTCGGATATGGACTCTTTCCTCTCGGCGACAAGGCCTCTCATGAAGTGCTAGCTCGGGAAGACTCTTTATCATTCCTCCTCAAATCGAAATTCGTCAATGCATTAGTCACTTCACTATAGGTGATAGAAGATCTATCATTTAATAATGTGAGCACAAAGGTATCAAAATCCTCATTCGGTAATGAGCGTAACAAAATGATCGCCTTGTAATCGTCTGATATCTTCTCATCCACGTTTGCTAAGTTCGACAATAACTTTGTGTAATTGTTCACATGATCCGTAAGTGAGGTACCCCTGGACATCTGAAATCTGAACAATCTTCACAGCAAGTGTAATCGGTTCTCAATACTCTTCGTAAGATACTTATTGTTGAGAATCTCCCGCGTCTTTATCGCAGACATCACGCCGATCACATCGTACTTCAACTCTCATTCTGTTAGACCCTAGAGGGGGGGTGATTAGGGTCTTATGCTAATCTAATCCGATTAAATACCAATTAAAACTTATTAACAAGTTATCCTAGCAAGTATGAAATACAACAATGTATATGAGCTAGGATAAGTAATATGAACAACAAAGAGATATATCCTATATGATGAATATGTATATATGCAAGGATATATAAACAACACAAGGGTAAAATAAACAATCTACAC